CTCCCTCCCTGGCTGGAGGAAAGGGTAGAAAATATGGATGATGAGACATCAAAAAAGCTACTTTTAACTCAGCAACCAAGATCCCTTCTCACCACCTGTCCTCCCCACTCAGCCTGCAGCCAGGTTCAAGCCCTTCATCCAATGTGTCTTTTCTTAGCTCTTCCTCAGCTACCTGTCCACCAGAGAGGTAGGACACACCAGGAGGCAACCAGCCTGCCATCCAACACCACCCAACTGCAACAGAGCAAAGCAGCACAGGGAAAGACCTGGCACAGGGTGGGAAGCCCCAGAGAGCTGCCCTTGGGGCCGGAATGGAAGGGCCAGGGGGGCAACCGTTTCCCCAGCCCCACTTCAAACACAAACATTCCATGAGGAGGGTGGGACCTGTGCCCTGGTACAGGCAGGAACAACAGGACATTAAATATGCCCTACCTCATCACTGCTGTACTCTACTTGTGCTGACCCCGTTTGCTGAGAGCCAGACAAGCCAGTGCTGCTACAGCAATTTGTCTAAAAGGGGATTAAGTGGAAAGTGATGGGAGATTACCAGGGAAACAATGATCTGGTTGCTAATGGGACCTTCAGCTGCAGCAGCGAGAGCCTTCAGTGTCTGTTGAAAAGATACCCTTGCTCCTCACTCAGCTGAACACATCACTGAATGTTTTAATTAGTGAGGGAAGGTTTGTTGCTGGAAAGGGAGAAGCGTTCTTTGGGGGTGAGGGAGTCTTTCTTGTGCCACTCCTACAGAGCCCTTGCAGCTGGTCTGGCTGCCTTAAATATTCCCAGGATGCTTGGAAATTGCTCTGACTCCCCTTCCCAATCCTATGGATGCTCTGAGGGTCATTGACTCTCTAATGCGCTAGTAAATCCTCAAAGATACCAAGCAGATGGATTTTAACTCCTACAAGGAAGGGGCACACGGGCACTCACAGCTGTCCCACTGCCTCTTCTCTCTGCCACTTTTGTTTCAAAATGCTCATGGGACAAGGCACTGTCTGGCTGCTGCCAACAAGTCAAACCATGCTTAAGGATAAGAAAAGTATTTCCAGAGCCAGCAAGCATATAGTGCCGTGCTTGGTGGCACAAGTCTGACTGCCTAAGAAATGAGGAGAACCCCAGCACTCTCCAGCCAAGTGCACTGCCAGCCTGAGCAAAGGCCAACCCATTTCTCACCTCCTGGTGACTCCCAAGCTGCTGCTCCTGCCCCAAATCCCTGCAGGGCTCCTGCTTCTGTTGCCTTCAGGTGAAGCCCAGTGCCCTGCAATGATGGTCATCCTGAAGAAACAGGTTCCTGTCTCCTGCCCCAAAGAACACACTTGGCAGGATGGAGGAGCTGTTACACCTGACAGGAAATGTCATGGAACACAGAACAAATCATCCCTCCCTTCCCTGACTGCCCAAAGTCATCACTACAAGACAAATCCTACAGACCTTACAGGGTTCACTGCTAGCACTGGGCATGTACTGCTGCCATCTAATGGAAAACAGTGTGGAAAAGAGGCAATTTCAGGTTATGTTGCCAGGCAGAGAGCCCTTTATCTAGCTCATCCTGTCAGTCATTCTTTCACCTCAAAGCCCCATGGCAACTCCTGCAAAATACAAAGGAAAATGCTTATTCACATTTGTAAGGCAGGTAGGATGGGGAACTAGAAGGTGCTGTTCCCTCCCAAGCCACATCTCTCCTTCCCCCCTTCTGTACTAAGGGACTTGGGAACCATAAAAAAAGCAGCCAGTTAACTTTTAAGTTTAGTAAAATCATTTATATACACCGATGCGTAATATTTACAATATAATACTGATCCAAAATAAACTAACACCTTACAGGTAACACTGAAAAGGAGAAATGAAAACATCTGAATACACAGAAGTTCAACATGGCAGATGAGGACAGACTTGGATTTCAAATTAAAGTAGTGACAGCAAAACTTTGACATGTTGCTATTTCCAATGGAAAACTCTTTCACCTAATCAAAGTTTTCTAACTCTTTAATACAGACATAGAGCTTCAAATAATCAAGTCACAGGAGAAGTCAGATACACATAAAATTTTGGAAAGGTCAAATGATTTCAGAGATTCTTCTCTTAAATTATATGCTAAAACCAACCAAAACCAACCCAACCTACAGCTTTCCCGTATCCTTTTAGTGTTTGCACAAAGAATGTCTTCTTTGATCCCACACAACCCTTCCATCTCGAGATATTTACAGTATTCACAGTCTGCTATAAAGGATCAGTAGATTTATCACCAAGTAAAACCTCACGTAATCAGGACAAGGTATCTTGCATTTATCTCAACTGAAAAATAATAACAACAAGAATAAACACAGGAAGGAGAAAGTAAAATCCTACTTTCAAATATGTAAAAGAATCCACTCATTTTGAAATGTAAAACATAACTTTTTAAAGAGGAAAAAAAAACCAACCCAAAATAAACTTTCTCATAGAAATAAAACCATTTGACCTCGAATCTTCAAACCATTTCTCCATCTGTCCCTCCCTACCTCCCTTTTCGACCATTCTTATTCACCACAGACAATAGCATCTATAGTAAATCCCTAAAAAGCAGCTCCTTATCACAGAAGCCCTTAGAAACTTGACTTCCCTCCAGACACCAGAACACTTTGCAGTCAGTCACAAACACACCCACCTCACTATCAGCAGCTTGGAATGATCCTGTTGTGTCAGGTAAGGGGCCATGAGGAGGAGGGACCCTCTAATGCAGTCAGACCCCACCTTCTCCACCTGGATGTCAGGGAGCTGCAGTCGCTCTGACACCCCAGCGTGCTCCCTGCTGTACCAAATACTGGTACTGCAGAAGCAGGCTGGAGCCATCTCCTACAGACACAACAGCATCCAAGCATCTTTAACACTAAAGAATCCAGCAGAGACAAAACAGGTCCTGGTGTGTTACATCCACCTCACTCAAGGTGCCTGGATTGTATCCCTAGTCTCTGCTGACTGGACTGTGCATGGACCATGCGTGTAGCTACAATCTGATCCAATTTTACTGCTAACAAGTTCTGGCTCCCAAGAAACTGCCTGAGTATTTTCCTCCTTGGAGGGAAGAGTTGAAAAGTGCTTTTGTAGGGAATTTTTAGCACTCCCATTGAAACAGAGGTGATCTCCTTGTTCATTTCTCTATTTGCCATACTTAAAAGTTTCAATACAGTAAGATCTCTCAGAAAATATCCCACAGATTTCAAGTTAAAAAGGAAATTATCTATTGCATTTGAAATTGTGTGGATGTTGACATGACCTAGAATTTACAGCTAGGACAGAAATACATATAATAGGGCCTGCAAACTTGCTGATACCACCAAGAACTGGCAAATACTCATCTCTTGCTAATTCTCCACAGTTGTCATCGATATAATTCAGTGCACAAATATTCCATGTAGTGTCAGAGGTACAATTCTGGCTTACACAAGAACTCCCTGTTTCCATCATAGAAAAGCGATGGTTACATAGGGACTGTGGTTCTTACTCTGCAATAAATCAGGCATTGGAAAACTGTCAACAGGATTAAAAGCAAGCTGACAAGGTGCTGACAATGGGAACTGGGAATGAACTATCTCCTTCATGTAGAAAAACTAAGTTACTGCTTACAAAAGTTCATAGAAAGAGTCAGACACTGGTTTGCCATCCAAGCTAAAGGTTGCAAGGAAGTCTGGTATAGAAAAAAGACAACAAAGAACAAGGCTGGACTGCCAGAAGAGGAAGTTAAGAGATTCATGGCTCAGGTTTGTAAATGTAAACCCAAAATTAATGAGCTATGAAATATAACAATAATGTTCAAGAGTCATTACTAATAGCCCTGAATTGGCACTTCAGTCTGCAGACCAAACTCGTTCAACGTCTGCACAGGTTTAGTACCAAAATATCTCTATAAAAAGCCTTCGACCGGTCTCAAAAGAAAGAAAAGCATCAGAAGGTAGAAAACTAGAAATATGTACAGATTCTTTTCATTTGTTTGTTTCATCAAGATTAAAAAAGCAGCTTTTGGAGCCAATGTTCCAGACTGGTGTAAGAATCTGCCCTGATGGTCAAGGCAGCACTAGGACGTGTGTCAAGGAGCAGCCCTGCATCTATTGCTCCCCAGGAGGAGCTCGAAGGCATCAAAGAGACAGGGAGCTCAGACTGCAGAGGGTGACACAGAAGGATCACCAGTGGATTCACACAGCAGCACTATGACCCTTGCCAGGATGATCTCTTTCAAACAAGAAGACAAGTTTGAAACCAAGTGCTGGAAAGAATGGAGTATACAGGTGGAACACAGACAACATCTGATCTGGGGGTGAAGCAAATGAACCCCATACTTGGTTTTGTTTGTAGAAGATCCCTCCACGAAAATAAAAGTAACTTGTACGTAAGTAACTAGAACATTCTTCTGTTCTGCTGTTGAACAGCATGATAAAAGAGGAGTCTTGAGCTGAATGGCCAATTCAGCCTTAGAAAAGGTCTGAGGAAGATGGAGAAGAAGTGGACTAAACCTTAAAGACGGTCTGAGGAAGATGAGGAAGAAGAAAGAAGAGGGCTACTGATCAGAACTGAAATACAGCAAGCATATGGACTGAGGTGCCCTTGGCAAGGCCGAGCACGGCTCTAGGCTCAGCTAGTGAAACAGAAGGCTATGTAGTTGCCTCTACAGAAAGACTTGGGATTTCGGTGCAAAGGGCAGCTATGAGGTTTGTATTCTGCAGCACTCGCTTCAAGTACTTACTGAGCAGGGTGTTGAGAAACTGTGGCTGTCTCGTTCACATACATAGTCATTGCAGCTGGCTGTATGTATAGCAGGTGGAAGGCAGCTTCTGCAACTGGCTAGTAAGGAAAAGAATGGTCTTTAACAATATAATCTGCCCCATCTGAGGAGGGCTCATGATTAACAGTACATAAGTGATCATATATACCTCAAGGAACTGAGTTTTAAAAAAATATTACAGTACCAATGATTTTCTTTTTTGTTATCTACAACTATACAGCATTTTCAAGCAGTATGGAAATTTAATGAAATAATTATGATTTATTAATTTACATAAAAATACTTTTTACAGTTAAAGAATAAATCTTAAATGGTAAAAAAAATAAGATTAAGAAGCTCCAGCTATTGAGAGTCATGGGAGTTTGTCTGCTCTTCGATCACTTGTTTTACTATTTCTGCCAGTTTTAGTCGATCCACTTTGTCTGTGAATCCTCTGCCTGAAAGGAAGAAGAACAGGACATCAGCTGGTGCTGGGCACAAGGAGGAAAGCAATCGTGGGTGAGGTTCATACAAAAATCAGGAGAACATAAGTTACGATTTCTAGTTCCACTGAAAAAACTGAGTACTTAAAAACCTGAATTAAACCCAGGCAAAACAGAACGACGGAAAAGCACAACCAAGCCCTCACAAACCTGGCTGATGCCCCTATTTCCTTTATATTCAGCAGCATCTGCTCGTGGGGCTGACACCTTTGCCCCCCTGGCTTTGTCAACACTCCCAAGGCAGCTGGCCTAGTTCAATTTCATTTCCTATCCAAAGCAAGCAGATGTGCTGACACAGATGAGGGCAGCAGCCTCCAGCAGAAAGAGGGTAATAAACAGCTGGAAGGAAACCAGCTGAAAACTGCTAACACAGTTTCTGAAGTGATGATCCACTTATGCTGTTATGTTCCTGCTTGACTTGGTGCCTTTGAAAACTCTACCCTGAACCTCAGATAGAAATGTTAAAGCAGAACTTTCTACCTCATTTCTAGAACACCTGAGCTGGCTGAAGGGCTGAAAGAGTGTCAAAACCTGCACCAGCCTGGCACAAATTCAAGGCATCCGGGGTTATTTCCATATAAAAAGGTGACTGCTTCCCCTGTTTCACCCAGCATTAGCACCATTCTCCATGGAAGAGAAGCAGTTCCTCACCGTTCCAGCTGAAGCTCTGAAGAGTGTCTCGCAGTAACTTACACTCTCGATTATACTTCCATGCCTCCTGCATCACTTCATTCAGCTTCTCATCTTCATTCTCTCCTGTTTAGGAGATCAGAGATAAACAGGAGGTTTGCCATTCTGCCTGCAAACACTCCGTGCAGTTACATCCCTCCTCCCCTCACACAAACTTAGGAATAGCTTGAAAACAGACACTCCTCTTTGGAAGTTCTTTTAACAGCTCTGCATGTCACTTCTGACACTAACATTATGCATGCACCAAAATCACAGCCTACAGACAACACTTTCCCCTCCAGACTGATTAGGACAACAGGAGTTTTGTTTATCCTCCCTCACCACTGACACAAACTCATCTTGAAGCACAGTAAAATGTGTTAGGAATGCAACTTTTAAGATAAAAGTGGCAACCTTTACCAGCCTGTGGTAGAATGCACTGAGCAATCACATCCCTCAGCTTTTCCAGAGCCACATTGGAATCGTTGCTTCCATTCTCAGGGTCATGGATATAAACACCATCCTTCGGCTTAGTGCTGCAAAAGAACAAGGAGGAAACAATTACAGTTTGAATGCAACAAGTCTGTTACTCACTGCATAACTGCACCAGTATAATGGTCTCTTTCACTGCCTGGAAAGCTGGGAATGGGAGCTAGATATAGTATCAATTATAATAATGTTCTTATAATACCCTTTAAATATGAAGAAAAATAAATGTCCCTTTAATTTAATTCAAATAAGGGTAATCCTAAATGCATTATCCTGTTTTTCAAATAGAAAACAGATAGAAAACAAAGAGAGAGACACAGATTACCTGACTTTTTCAGTAAATAAGTGTCAGGATCAGTAAAAAAATCTTGGAATTCTCTTACCTTACTCAACTTCTCATAGGGGATCTGTTTTGCTTCCTCTATAATACAATAACTCTATCCAACTCCTTCCTGCCCTCACTGGCATATCTTGGAAGACACATCACCTTGTGCAAGTAGTACCTGACTCCAACTACTCACTTCAACATGAAGAGCGTGTCAACCACATGAGGTATTCAGGAGCATGGTTACAATTACCCCAATAGTTTCCTTTTGCGCAGGATCGGGTTGTTGACGGAGTGAAGGGGTTTGAGACTGACTTTCAGGTCCTGGATCCTCATGTTTGCAAGCTGCTCTGCATGAGCCTGTTGTATCCCTGCTACCATTGCCTACAATGAAAGAGTTGCACTTGATGTTTTAATTAGCTTCTGTGTGAATGAAAGAATCCTATTGATTTCAGAGATGCACAACAACAATCAGGTTTGCATTATGCAGATTTATATCCCAAATTTCAAGTGGAACCATTTCCATTTTCTCACAAAGGTCTCGGGCTCTCCTTAAGGCAGAAAGGATGCTCCTTATCTGCGTAACACCACATGAAAGGAAACACTCAAACCATCCCAAAGCTACCCAGCTTCCCTATGCAACATTCTTCATAAACTAAAATGTTGTTTAGACCTTGTCCATCATCATCTGGGCAGAGGGGAGGATGTTATCAAGTGCCTCGGTGGAGTTGAGCCAGGGATGGTCCAGCACACCTTCGATGGTCAGACGCTCCTCAGGTTTGACCTTCAGCAGCCTGGGAGAGAAATCAGTCAGTCCATAAAGAGTCTTTGTTGCTTAACAATGTGCTGCTCTGTCTGGGGTCAGAGCACGGAGCCATCTCTAAGCATTAGAGGGGCTAAAACCAACTAAAACACTAAGCTGACACAAAAGCAGTCTGACTTTCCACCCTTGCTGTGGTGATAGTTTAATGCTATAACAACTCATTCAGTTACACTGAGCAACTCAGTATAAAAGAAAGGCACTGAGGGCCATTTCAGTAATACCTGTGTACTGCTGAACTCTACATTCACATCCTCCCAGATGGGAAAATCACCTTCCAGTTGAACTGGAAATGACCCAGACCAAGACTCTCTGGAAATGCACATCTAGAGCTCATCCATGTAACAGGCTATGCTCACACCAAGGACTCTGGGCATGGTGAAGTAAGGCAGAGCTTCCAAGTTAGAAACCTGTTTACTGAATTAGCAGCTTTTACCATGCAACTCCTTCGCTTTTCTCCCTCTGCAAAACCTCAAGTAATGGCCACTCTGGCAGAATACAGCAAAAAAAAATCCTTCTCAAAATGAGAAGGAACTTTGAGATCTCTGAAAACACCTTGGAATTATTCTCTAGAATAAAACCCTGGGCAGAGATTGTGCCGATAAACTGCTGCTCTCATGATAATCACAACTGCTTAATAAACCAGTGCCATCTCACACAGAGTGCTGACAAGTCATCCCACCAGTTTAAACTAGAGCGACTCGATGAGCTCAGCAGCCAATATTTGAGATCAGCTTCCTGGCTGCAGAGCACAATTGTTTAATGTACCAAGAAAGTGGAAATAACTTTCACCAAATGCCAGCAGGACCACGGGCTAGCTCAGAAAGCTCAGAAACCAGGTCAGTTTTGCTACAAGACCCAAGACACATGCATTCCTTTCCTATGGGTCCTCAAAGTCCTAACCTATTACCAAGCACTCCAGCTTCCAAAGCTCAAGGTCAGAAATCAGCTCAACATGCTTGAAAGGAAGCAGCTGCTTGAATGCCAAATATGACCTCCAGAAGCAACACTCCATCTGAATAAGTCTATATAAAGTAAATTTATCCAGAATTATATGAAGTCTAAATGTATTCCTGCACCATAAACACAGATTCAGACCCACTGGCTGGAAAAGACAAGCAGGAAAGGGAGTCCCGATAACATTAGTGAGAGAATTAAGTGAACTGAATCCAAACAACATCATTCTGTGAGCTGTGTTTCATGGCCATTTTAAAAGACAATGAAACCTACTGACAGTGGAGCTTCTGAGTGAGAATAAAGAGTTGACCTTGGTATAAATGGAAGTTTCACTGCAATGTAATCTGCAGTTTCTTTGGTGAAAGGCTGTGGGTTCTCCTGCACTGGCAGAAACAGGTCCCTTTCCAAACAATGTCAAGTCCTTGGAGATTTTACACTATGGCAGAGGAGACAGTGACAGTTTAAACTTATTCAACAGATTGATTTTTTCCCATTTATGTTGCTTTTATCCTCCCACTTCCTCTGCTGATCCAAGCAAAGGCAGAAAGTCCCCCACACATTTTAAAACACAAGTGGGGTCAAGACCTAATCAGAGCCACATTCTTGCTTTCAAACAGGACCATGGGATCAGTCTTTGAAACACTTGCAACCCAGAGATGTGCAATGCATGATAAACAGTTCCCAGTAGCATTTAGAGTTAAAATATCAATGCAAAACCTTATCTCATGGTCTGACACATTGTGACAGAGCTTAACCTCCCTTTCCATGCTTCTCTCCTAACTCCTTTCAGACTGTGCCTTACATGAACAGGGTTTTATGGGACAGATCTACCAGATCCTATGATACCACCTAATTACCCCCTGATTCTAACAGGAGTTTAAACATTACCATTGGAGATACGTGCCTAAGGAGCACTTGCAGATGTGGCACGCAGCTGTCTTACTGCTCCAAATCAAGGCCACATAACCCATTTCCCTAAAGACTAAACACACAATTGCACTCTAGCAGCTTCAGAGACAAGAGACAGCAAAAACTGAACACAACAATTGGGGAGGAAAAAGAGAGGGAAATATTTACCAGGCTTCATTTGTGCTGAATAGGGCAGAAAGCTCTGGAGCTGTACGTGCTGCAGACAACCCCCCCGCCTTCGGAAAAATGAGCCCTTTGGGATACCTCAATTCCAAGTGATTTTCCAGTTTCATATAAGAGCAACACAACATCTCCTCAACTGACTCACTTTCGCACAATGTCTTTCGCCATTTCTGAGATCTGGCTCCACTCTTCCTCTGGGAATTCAAAACTTCCTGTCATGATCTTTTTCCGCATGTCCTTTGGAATTGTCCGACTGTGGTGTTTGGAGTAAAACGGAGGGTATCCACACAGCATCACGTAAATAATGACACCCAGGGACCACAAGTCACAGCTCTGAAAGCAAGGAAATGATCACTTTGGGGCGCAGTTTGCAGCAAGCAGTGGTGTAGCTACATTAAAAGCTCTATGGGATTCCCTAAGGAAACAGAAATACAGCTCAGCCTCCTCCTAAAGGCCCATGTGAGGACCTTCATGGGTAAATGTGGCGAATAAGTAAGCACAAGGTAACTCCATGCTGCCAAGTTAAACTACTTCCAGTACCCAAAAGTAGCTTGTTGACAGAACTGCTGTAACTCCACGCTGTGCAATGGTAAATTGCATGGAAACAGCCAGTGCATCAGTGGTGTGAGTAAGCTGCACATTTAGTACCTCTCTCAGGATCCTTCAATCCTACTCTCTCAATACCAGAACATAAACCAGAATACAGTCATTTTGGAGAATGTGAGACTAAAAAGCAGATGAGCTAGCAGAGGTATCTGTAATGGAAAACGCACATCCTGGAAGCCAGGAGATGAAGAAGCTTCAGCAAAGCAGGAGCAGTATTTCACACTGTGCTCCCCCCTGTCCTCCCACTCCAGCCTGGAGCTCCCTCCTTTGCCCTTGCAATAGTGTTCCTGCTGGTGTGATACACCCCAAGTTCATCCAGGAGGTGGATCCAGCTAAACACCAGCACAGTGAAGAAGATGAAAGCCACATCTATTCCTCATCTGGATCACATGTGGATGCTGACAACAAAAGAAACTCCAAGGAGTTACGACCATATGGATGCTTTTCAGGAAGTTAAGCCAATCTCAGATGGCTCCAGAAGTCTGAATTTCTATTTAGGTACCTAAATTCTCATCATTTTTCCATTCACCAGAGGTAACTTCTAATGAAATCAATGGAACTTAAGGCATGTAAGTAGGAAACATGTCTAAATACTTCATCGATAGGGTTCTCAGATTCTACATCTCAAGAGTCAACCCCTCCAGCCACGACATAGACACTCATATTCGACCCAACACACACACACAACTTCGTAAAACCACTCAAGAATCAAAGATATGGGTTTTTTCCTCCAATTTAAAACAGTGGGAGAGCAATCCTGATCATGAAGGTGGATCACAGGCATTTCCACCCAGTGTGGCTGTGGAAGGACAGTGTACCTGGAGCCTAGCACAGTCTATTTTGGGGAACCAGGGTTTGCCAGATGCTGCTTTTGCAGTGAGTCACACTTGGCATGGTAAGGATGAGGCCACTTCTTTCAGCAGCCTGTCCAGTTAGTGCCACTGTGGCTGAAAGCAGTTCAGAGCAACAGATCAGTGTCTGCCTGCAATCATCAACTGGTTTCTCCAGGGTGGAGAAGAAATGATCTTAACTATAAAGAAGGCAGATTCACAAATAGGAAACCCTAAACAATAGGTCTCCCTATAGAAGGCTACTAAAACAAAATACCATATATCATACTACCCCCTCTAGCATGTGGTGGGTTAAACCACCATCCCTAAAGCTGGAAGCAGGGTAGATACTTAGCCCTGCAATCAGAAACCAGCTAACTTTAATCAAAACTGACACTGAAATAACACTCAGTGGTTCAAACACTGCTCAGCCAGCAGGAGACACGGATGATAAGAGGGAAGAAAATGTTTTGGAATGAGCAAAAAGGAGCACAGCCTTGCAGGACACTTTCTGTCATAGCTGTGCCAAGATTCTCACAGCACTTGTTATTGCTCACGGCCACTGCTACAGACCACACAGCACACAAAACTGGTCACTTTGCAGAAGAACCCTGATAGAGACAAGGTACCACCAGGACTGCCTGAACAAGATACCCCAAAGAGTGCTTTGCACACCCAGAAACTCTGCCTAGCAGCAGGGAAGAGGTTTCCTTTGAGCCAACCTCTTGTGGAGGTGAAAGAACTTCCCACATGGTCACACTCCAGCAGAACCATTCTGCTCTCTCCCAAATCTTGTTAATATTTAGTGCTCCTTTAACAGTGCTTGTGCATTTCCCTTTAATTAAAGGATCATTAATTAAGCTGGGACCAAGTGTGCATTTCATTATTCACTCTATCAGGAGGCACTCAGAGCCAGAAGTGCTAAAGCCTGTTACTTCTAAACAGAGAAAGACAACTACCTGCACAGATCCTTATCTTCTAATTTGCCCATTCAACTGAATGAAGCCTGGTCTGAACCTAACACAATTAAGGGAAGAAATACCACTGGCTGCCTGGTCACTCCTTTTAGGAAAGCCAAAGGAACCACACTTTTGAGAAATACAACCCTACAAATACTACTTTCTAACATGGGTACACAAACCGGCAAGCAAGATGTCATCTCCCTACTGCTCCCTGCAGATCCTGCTTTTGACTCAATGTGAGACTAGTTAGATGTATTCCTTAGGTAAGAACAACTGTATTGCTCCTGGCCATAAGTGTGCAATTTCAGGGCAATCAAGTTTATTGCCTTAGGTGATAAACTGTGTCTACAGACTGCTCCTACAGCAGACACGTTGGTGGGGTTGGGAAGACATTGTGCTGTAAAGACATTGACTTGTGGCCAGTTTCACAGCTTACCTTGTTGTAAGTGTAAGGTGTTGGAGAGGTGGGGATAATACCAGATTTTTCTTTCTGATGCCGTCTTTGTGCCTCCAATACCTGTTGCCACAAGAGAAAAAACAGACCAAAATCCAAAATCCATCTCATTTACAGGCACCACAAACAGCAATGCCCATGCCAAAGATGCCCAACGCTTCTCCATTCGGTGGACTTCTTCCAGCTACTGAAGACTCTGCCAAAATCAAACTGCTCCTCCTCAGAAAGACTGGCACTTTCCACGTGGGGAAAATCTCAGGTAAAATATTTTGCTGCTTTGGGTGAAACCTCCACTTTTCTGAATTAAAGCAATTGCTCACACCTCGTTTGGTCAAAACCTCTAACACCTCTCTACTTTGGCACTAGAACCTAAAGCCTGTTTGGAGGGTAACCTTAGCTCTAGAGACGTCCCTTTTTGCCTCTCCCACAAACACATCACATCAAATTTATCCCTTGCTGATCAAATCTGTGTTTCTACAAAAATCTCCTTTTAAACATGCTTGGGAAAAGCTTTCTGTGGGTTTGGTGGTTCACTTGTTCTACAAACCCTGCCTGTGGTGCACATGGCCCCTCACCAGCAGGCTCCAGCTGAGGAGGCCTTTTCAGGGCACTCAACTGTGGCCACATGGTCTGATCCCTGCAATCTCTCTCCCCAGTCATTAAAGGCTGCTGACGTGCCCAGTATTGCAATTTAATATCCGCAGTTTTCCCTTCATTTTCTTCAGGACCTCAACACAAAGCACAAAAGAGAGTGGGGAAAAAAGCACTACAAAACCCAGCCTGCTATAATGATAGATTATATCTCAATGCACACTGACAAAGGGGGCAAGCCAAGGTGAACAGGTAACCCTCTGGCACTGCTCTCTTAAGCAATTGCCTTTACAGAACCTTTTTGTCTCACTGTAGTCTTTTTTAATGTCATCTTGAACAAGTCTGAGCTGGAGGAAGGATTGCAAAGCAGGGACTTCTCCAAACCCACTGCCTTAATGCAGTTAAAGGCCAGTTGCCCAAATCCTGGAGTAGTCTCATTGGTGGCAGCTGGGTCTGGGAAAGTCAGGAGGCACCAGCAACCAGTGAGTGCTAAAGACACAGTCTGGGAGATGTGCCTCACAATCTCCTGCTGCAATCAATGGAGCACTGTGGCACTCCACCTTCAAAGTTGGCTACCATATAATTACTCAAGATGCCTGTGCCCAGAAGCCCTTAACAAGACAGCAAAGGCTTTTAAAATGACATGGTTATGGAGACACAAGCAATAAGATCATGACTCCCCTTCAGCCCAGAACTGTAATCGTTTGTTACCTGAGGTGCTACATAATATGGAGTGAACTGTGGTGTCATCAAGTCACCTTGGTCTACTTTGGCAAATCCAAAGTCACACAATTTAACAGGAGCATCCTGAAACAAGGAGAAGAGGCTTCATTACAAAATCTCATTGTATCAGCTTTTCTAATACATATTTCTTCACTTTGTGCTCACCTTGCCTTTGCCACATGTACTCCTCTTTTGTATTTATACCCTCGCCATTCCACAGAGCAGCCAGAAGATCATAAATTGATCTTTGAAACAATCATTTTTGTTTTCCTGGGTGCACTGGGTCTAAAGCAGTCCCCCTCTGATTTGGAAAGCACATTGTAGGGGTGTCACTGCATATGCAGGGTGGTTATGAGCAGAATAATGAAAAGGGCAAGAGCTTGGATACATCAAAGCATCCATACTGTATGTTAGAACATCCCAACAACACCCAGGGAGCAAATGTGGCAGAGTGGATCTTCTTATCATCAAACCAGGATTCTGTGTTGGGGTGAACCTGAGCCATATTTAACAGCAGCAGCAGCAGCACAGGCTGTACTCCAAACAGATCAGAGTACGGAAAAGCACAAAGCCGGAAAAGCTCCCTAATTTTTGTCACCACAACACTGCATTGATGTCATGTTGCAACTGTTCTGAAAACCACCATTTTACCGAATTCAGCAGGAAAAAAGAACACCAAGGCTTCATCTTACCAGAGAGTTATCCTTGAAGAGGAGATTCTCAGGCTTGAGGTCTCTATGTGCAATGTTTAGTGAGTGGCAATGCTGCAAAGCCAAAGCTATCTGAAAAAGGGCACAATAAATCAACCACAATTACAGAACTCCTCCGTTAGCCTGGACACTTATTTTAGCTTTAAAAAGGACACTGCAAACATAGCTTAGAGCCCAAATGTTGCTCACTCCACTTGGGTACAACTCAGAGTTAAGACAAGCCTGGCCATCCTGCACACCAGTGCAGTAGAGCCACGACTGGGAAATGAAACCCACCACTGAAAACAAACAGGAAGTAAAAGCTAAGTTGTACTGAGCTTCCCAACCATCTCAATTTGACTAACTCTGGGTATTATTAACCCCCAGAAGTGACACAGATCATGACACAGATTCTTTTACATGCTATGCTAGACTTACGAGGTCACTACACTTGCTCGCACCCTCCCAGCAACTACATTCTGTTTGACAGTGAGCAGCAAGCTCTTGGTTCAACATTTCAGTGAGTATTTTATCACACTTGTTTCTGGCTTAAGAGTCAACATTCAGGCAGTTTTAATCTTTAATTCCTGATGGTACTGCCTGGAATCTACTCATTTCATGGGACACTACACAGAAATGCATTACTTGATTCGTTCACAGACGGCTTCTTATACTGCTGTGGTTTAGAAACCTGTAACCCAGCCAGGAAAGCTCTACAGACTGTACGTTTCAAAGTGCAATTCATTTAAAGACAAGGCATAAATACTTAAACAGCATCACTGAAAGTAAGGCAGAGCCACACAACCCTTATTTAAAAGTGTTCCTGTTGGCTTCTGTAGGATCCGACCCAAACACAGAGCTCTAAGTGAAGTGCTGAGTCCTTAGGAGACTGTAAAATTACCCTTACATGAGAACTTCACTGTTCACTTACAACCAAACACAAGCACATTCCCAGAGAAAATGAGACAGCTTTGAAACAACGTTTAACTATTACTTGGTACAAGGAACTAAGACCCAGTTCAAGACAACGATGAACCACCATTAGATGAAAGAATACAACCTAAATATTGCTTTCAAACTTCACTTGTATAAACATTAAAGCAAAGAGTTACTTGAGCAGCTTGAATAACCCAAGTGTTCACACAGTCAGAATTCAACTCAAAGTCTTGCCTTTTGGTACAGTTTGACAAGATTTTCCCAACATGTTCATCCTGGAGACTGCCACCGTCAAAATCAAACAGCCCAAAGGACATGAAAACAAACTGTCAAGAGTAATTCTGCACTTCCACCTCATTTCTTTGTTGGATGACACCAAAAAGGGAACAGCACAATTAGCATTTCATTAGAAACCACTCAAAGCACAAGCCACAAAAGTAAGATTCAATACTTCAGCCTCAGTACCAAAGGTTATCTCCCCAGCTTAGGGAGAAGCAAGCTATCAAGATTTGGATATATTCATAAGGTCACGTCAATTTACAACAAACGCTGCACCATCCTGTCTCACATCTCCTTTCCTTTATTCACTGCAGTGATCACTGGTGTGGGAGCGAGACATTTACTGATTGCTATCTCCAGTGTAGCTTCTCACCTACAGTTCACGTATCCTGTGTTTGGAATGCCAATGTAACCTCTGCAAGAAGCAAACAACAGCAACTCCAGCCCTCAGCTTCATGCCGTGGTGCCATTTTGATAGCAAGATCCTTCTGCCTTGTGGGTCCTTACACCAACCTGCTGGTCCTCTGCTGTAGCTCCCTAGAAAGGCTCCCACAACACACAGCCATCTTTCCTGCAACCCTCCCACTGATCCAAGCTTTCTGACTGCACAACACAAGTCATCCAACAGCTTGGAAGTGAAAGGGAATGAAACACCCCAAAATGACATTGGGAATGAATATCATGGAGGCCCTTCTGCTTCATCTTCCTACCTACTATAGCAGGACGTAAGCTAGTCACACCAGACACACTGCTAAGCAAGAAAGAGCCTGATGGACACCAAAACCTCTAACAATAAATCCCGTGAAGGCTATAAAATACAACATTCAAGAGTGAGTTGTGTAGAGAAATGGAGAGGGGAAAAAAAACATTGGAACAAACAGCATAGAAAACATGCACTGCAGTGGTACATTCCTTTTGTTATCTTCCATAACAACAAATACAGAACCCAGCTTGAAAACCACTGGCCCAGGACACGTGTTATTGTCTGCTGCCCAAGAGGTGAGAGAAACACCAGCTCTGTGTCATGGCCAAGAGCGATTCTCAAACTGGAGCTCAGGAGCCGCACGGGGTCTGTGAGAGCTGTTAGAGGCAACACCTTTAAAACAACAGTGAGGAAACAGCAGAAAGGTTGTGCAAGAGAAGAGCTTTCTCAGGTGAAGGGTTCTGTAGACCAGGTCAGGAAAACCACTGCTAAAGACAGCAGAGACCCCAAGGTCCCAACCCAGAACAACCAGCCCACACCTTCAAATCCTTTGCTTCTATTCAAACTTTGGCATTGTCAGGTTATAACAAAGCAGGCAATGATCATCGGATCAGAACTGAGGATTATTTTAGCTTCCTTTTTCCCCACCACCCCTCCCCACCCAAAAATTGTTAAGTACTTTAGCCATTATCATTCATGGATTTGCTTATACATGGGGGTTGACTTGCCTGCTTTGTTACTTGGCTTGCTTGCTTCTCAGTAAAGTGCCGGTGCTGGCTGATTCTGTGAAATAGCTCTCCCCCTTCCATCATCTCCATTACAATTAGGAGCCGAGCCCTGTTCAAAAGCATTTCATTTTGTTATATTAAAAATAATCAAAAAAAGAACAGAGTTGCTAAGCTAATAATGCATACTTCACATCTACTGATGCAGGCCGAAAGAGACACGTATACTCGCTTCTCCTACAGTTGTTAGGGCTATTTTGGTTCTGTAATTTTGCCTTTAAGCACATAAACTGGAGGATTTTCTAGCTCCCTGCATCATCTGACTCATTGATTGTCAGCCAGGAATCTACAGCTCCCTCTCCATGATGGGCTTCCACATCCAGCTGGAACAAACACCATGGACATGTCTACATGGATGCATTTAGACAGATGCATGCTCCAACCACGCTTTCCACCAGCAAGCCAGTTTGGACCTGGAAGCCATTTAGACACAACTAAAGAATAATCCAGCAGGTAGAGTCTTGCATTAAATAGGCTGAACAGCTTCCAGGCTGGAGCTGGCTTAGAGCTCAGCATATACCTGCCTGCACCCATCCTTGCAGACGTGCTGACCTGCCTCGCTGTCTGCCTGGGTGCTGGAGACGATCACGGCAACTTTGAAGCAGAAGGTTGAGGAATTATCGTTAATGCTTTTGAGTCTGGATCCTCCACTGCACCTCCTGGTTTTAATTTACAGTTTTATTGCCATAATTAGGAAGGATAACGAATAGAAAGAGTGGCGATCAGGGCTGTTGGCCTCAACAAACCAACCCCTTGCTCTTCTTGCCACACAGCAAAATCAGGTATATCAGAGACTAAGACAGGTCTCAGCTCTTTAATCCTCCCAGCTCTGATATTTTCTTCTCAACTAACATCCAATTAGAAGACAGTACTTTTATTCCAAGTGATATTAAGGTATGAAAAATAGGCTTGCTTCATGTTTGGCTGTGTTCACTTTAAGCAGGTCAATGTATTGAGAGATTATAGGGCAGAACCTAGCATTTTAGAAACAAGTCTTTCTTCCATTATGTGTTTTATGAAGACTGGCACTCTGAGTTTCCCAGTGGCTCACAGGCAACACCACCATGTAAAAGGATCTCACTTGCTCTAGGTAGCAACACAAGTCACAGCTCTAATCCTGCTTTAACAGTGCTTTGAAAGCAGAAGGAGCTCAAAGGTTACAATCAATTCAGTTCAAGCTCCTAAAGCAATACCGAAACAAGGCAGAAGCTAGAAGCTAATATACTGTCTCTGACAATGCACATGTCACAGACTGAACCAAACACCTGAAAAATGAAGAGGCATGCAAAACCAGCAATGAACGGTGCAAATTCATTTAAATCCTCAAAGGTCTGGGCACTGAAAGGGTGAAAACCAAGTTGGCTTACCCTGAAGAATAAATATATCTGGAAACCCTCATAAATGTTCATTTTGGTCACAAAAAAAACCCAAGCAGACTCCACTATACCTTGGCCTAAGCAGGGAAAGCAAGCTGTGGGGATGAATCACCCTATGTAACCTTACCTTGGGCTGGATTCATGTGGGAACTGCACACTGTTAGCATAAACTTCAATAATCTGAACAATATTGGGATGTGTTGCACACATCATGTGCAGACGTACCTTGAAGAGAAGGGAAGAAACGTTACTGTACACAGCGACACGCACTTGACCAGTCCCTCTGCTCCCACGACTGCAGCACACATGGGCCCATGTGCTGCTACCAATGCTTAGCACCAGTCACACCCAGTTTAAAGCTATTCACGCAATAAGAAATGCCTACAAGGGTTTACAGGAATGGCCGTAATGTTGCTTAGACCAGGTAAGGCACAAAGATCATACACTGCCAACCTATTTGTTACAGACCATGGAACAAACCCAGCAGAGCTCCAGAAAAAGCCCAGTCTTTGATTTCTTTGGGGTTTTTAAGTAAATTTCAAGCTAGAACTGGCTTTAAAGTTGCAATAGAGATACGATTGAAACCAAAAATTCATGAGTAAAACCTGAAATTCCATAATCTGGCTTCTTTTATGGCCCAATGACCCAGCAGCTGCAACACAAGAAACCTCATCTCCTGTTCCAACATTCTGAAAGAGGAGCTTTCCCCAGTTTAAAGCTACCTGGAACTGCTACATCAAGCTGAGGTTTGATCCTCTTTGGAAAGAGAATATTTCTCCCTGTAAATTTTAAGTGAGAATTTGCTCAGTGACAAGAAATGGAAGTTGCCTAAACCTTGAGGACAATTAATGTTTCTTTCCCTTTCAGGACAACTTGAATGACTGTCACGCCAATGTCACGTCACATCCTGTCAACTGACTGACAGTCTGGTACCTTGGCATGCCTCTTCCCAGCTACAGTAAGTCACAAAAAGCATCAATGAGCTTCTTTAGTTTCTCATACATGGATAAACCCACACCATTTAGAGCACTTTTTGAGGCATTCCTGGCAATTCTTAGTGACACCCAGGAGTGAGATGTACAGAAACAGAATTCATTCTGAACTATTCAGATTACATGGAACGCAGGGAGAACACCAGCTTTAAAATGCAGCTCTATAAGTGACACTGGTACCTATACAGCTAACACCTACAGCAAACTCAGAGTTAGAAACCCCCCCTTCTTTCACCCACTACCTCATCCTACAGGAGCTGAACTCAGCGAGGCCAGAGGAGCAAACCCAGGGAACCTTGCATAGCAAGATCTGCAGATCAGTGGGGTTTTTCCTCTCTTAAACCATGGCAACAATTCAGCAAAAGGGCAAGACTTGTGCTGTGTGAGAAGCAGACAGTATAAACAGGAACTATACCTCATTTCTAGCTTTTGGACGATCAAGAAGGATTTTCAGTGCAAAGCGTTCTTGAGAGGCTTTTTTCATGCAGACTCTGGTATTACAGCAATAAAATCATTCAGTCAGCAAGAACGTTAAAAAGACACTTCAAGCAATTGATGTGTAGTTATGAGTCTGCTCTCCGCATGGGAATGAGCAGTAATGCCCGCAATCTGGAATACACAGGGCACCTGTCACCACGTCCCAGCTTGAAAGCCTCAGTTTTCAGCCTCCCACAACAAATAGGTTACATAGAAACACCTCACACAAAGTTCTATTTTCAGCAGCACAGAAAAAGGACTTCAGAGCAATGGGAACTGCAGACAAGCAGAACACACTCTGTACATCCAGCCTGAAGGGACACCCTGGATGGAAAAACCCCAAACCACACAGAGGCAGCCTGCACATCCCCAGTGGAGGGTGTAGGCTGCAGTACACACAGTGCTTCTGAATGGAAACCCTTGCTTTGGCAAGGCCACCAACTGTGTCACACACACGGGTTTTCTCTCTCTTTCCCCCATTTAACATTCACAATTGAACTGCGTCAGAGGGAAGGGCCCACATATAACAGGGCAGCTAAAGGAAGAAAGCACAAAGGGATATTTTAGTAAAGATCAGAGGCAACACAAAATGGATGAGGAGAATAAACCAATTGCCTGGACAAGAAGACAAATGGTCACAAAAGACAATCGCCCTGTCAAGCACCCAGAAACAAGAGGTGCAGGCAGTTGTTTTCCAGCTCCCAAAAGTGCTTATTGAAAAGGGGATGTATGTTTTGCTTTATGGAAAGCATCCAGTTCCTGCAGGGTTAGAAATTCATGCTGGGCAAGCCCAGCTGGAGATGATGCAGAGCTCACGGCACAATCTGCTTTGGCCTCACATGAGGATATGAATAAACAGCTGGTAAAAATAGCTAAGGGCACACAGTGCCAATGCCCTGAGTGATGATACCTTAGATGGGAGCAGCGACCTTTGCACCACACTGACACTAGTACCAAAGGGACAAAGGTGTTTGAGCAGAAGTTTCTGCTGTCTCCATTTCACCACCAACTCCTGTCCCCCCTTTGCTTCAGGAACACAGCAGTGAGATGAGATAACGCAGAGAGAGGAAGAGAGATTTGACTTGAAACACGCCCAGAAAAGACAGTAGCGCATCAGGTATCACCCATATGGGGTAGACACATTTATTTGTCTATAATGAGAGCCTTCCATGTAACACATCTGCTGTTAGCACACTTACAATAGGTACTCATTTATTACTCACATAGCTAATGAAACAGGCTGAGATTACACACAAACCCGAGGTGTATGGTCTTACCTAACGGGACCACTGATCCCAGCTCCCAGCTTCTGAGTCCAGTTAATGTTGTACTCCTCTAAAATGGAGGTTTCCTAGTCAAGAAGGAGCAGGGGGAGGGAAAAAGAGAGTAAAGAAAATAAATCAAAGTAAATGAATTACTACATCCCTTCAAAAGAAGCCAGCTCACAGACCTCATCTGCAAGATCGGAGTGCAGAAAGAGCCTGGTTTGGAGCTTTGCTTCACACCAGAAAAATTGAACATAAATACAAATGTTCACCTAAGAATATATCACAGTTTGAAGTTATTTCTGTGCAGCTGAGACTGCTCACTTAGCATTTGGAAAATGGATTATTAGCAACAGTAAAAGGGATCTTGTACCTTTAATACAGGAAGCATATCAAGAGCAATTCCCACCCCAGCTTTTAAATCCAGCTTTCTATCTATAAATGATCAATCACAATTGAACACAACGGCCCAATTTTAGCATTATTATGTGTTTTCTTTGTCATAAAGTACAATGGAAAATTATTCTGCTGCTTTCTTTGGGTTTCCAGCCCTTTGGAATCATTACCCTGTAAATTAAACCCTGCCTGACTAGTTTTAGCTTGTCTGATAATGAACCAGGCTCATGTTTGTAATCCTTTTGTCTAAATCCATACAAACAGGGTTTGGTTTCATTATGACAAGGGCTATCATGCTTAAACATGTCACAAGGCAGGATGTAAACGTAGCTCCAGTGTGGAACATTTTGATTAACGCTGCTGCCATGTGCTGTCACACAGATGGGGATCCACCAACAGAGCAGGGCTGACGCTGGAAGTGTGGGCAAACTCAGCCACCAAACAAAACACACATAAGGAAACCTGATGAACTGCAAGAAACTGCCTGGAGAAGCTGTGGCTGCCCCATCCCTGGCAGTGTTCAAGGCCAGGTTGGACACAGGGGCTTGGAGCAACCTGCTCTAATGGAAGGTGTCCCTGCCCTTGGCAGGGGGTTGGAACCGAATGAGCTTTATGGTCCCTTCCAACCCAAACCATTCTATATTCACTCATAGATGGTTTGGATTAGAAGGGACCATAAAAATCATCCGCTTCCAACCCCCTGCCATGGGCAGGGACACCTTCCACTAACCTACAGAGGAGGAAACTGAGAACACTCCTGCTCTCAACTCATTGGGAACAGCAGTCCCTGACCTGGGATCACCCGCCTCCGCTGCAATAGTTGTGGATTAACACTATTGCCAGGCTGGAGCCAGACCTCAAGCCACACGGCTTGGAAAACAAAACAAGAGGGGAAAGCTGATATTTAAGGCGAGATTTGAAGGGATTAGAGACTGCAAAAGACAGATATGGAAGGAAAAATTGTCTGTTATCGCAGTCTGCAGTATCACACAAATCATACGTGACTCCTGTGAATGGAGTGAAGGGAAAAGTTTCAGTTAATGGGAGGTTTTATGAAGGGTTTTAAAGCAAAGGGGAAGAAAAGCACAGTGGATCACACGCGGTTTGTTGGTTTTAAGTAGAAACACACAGAATTTACCAATTCAACTAATATAAACGCTACTTGTGAGAAGCTATTGGGGAAGAGCTGATTTCATTTTCCTGATGTCCAGATACAGAGAATCGAAGGCAGAGCTGGAATGAAACCACACCTGCAGAAGAGCATTAACAAGAGGAGAAAGGGTTTCTCTGGACTGGGGAGTACATCCTCAGCACGTGCTTTCAAGGTAAGTTTTTAAGCCAAACCGCTGACCTGGAGAAGCAAATGCCAAAGGACTCCAGAGCAACACTGTGATTGAGTGATAATAGTTCCTCATTACTTTTATAGAGAGCTTTGAAGTGTGCTGATCCTCTTCCAAAACCAAAGGCCCTGCCTGCCCCCAAACCTCCCCAGCCCTTTCAACTGCACAGGCTGGGCTAAAAGGAGGTACTGTCTCCACACACAAGCCCAGTCTTGACTATAGTTTCTGCTGCCTCATGCTGCTTCTGCGAGGGCATGGAGACTACTTGCTTCATCCCAGCAGAGAAGCTGGGTGGGAATTGGAAAGCCTGAGATCTATGGATCAAATGGAGTGAGAATAGGATCTGCTAGTTCTCAACTCCCAAAGGACAAGTGCAACCACTACAAACAAGTCCATTTTTAATAACAATTTATTTCCTCTTTTGTATTCTGCATATTTACCATTGTTTTAAATAACAAAAGCCAACATTTGTGCTTTCTGCATTTTTATTTGGATTCCAATCTTCACTCCCAAGCGGTTTTACAACTCGGAAGTAAAAAGGAATCATCTATTGATCAAGAAACACCATTCACCAGTTCCTAATGATATGAAATACAGTATTTGAGACCTCTGATGCCCATCAAGGTACAGAATTCCTCACATTGCCTATTTAGAAACAGCAGCTCCAAACATAGCACCAAGACTACACAGCTGCAAATCAACACAAGTTCATAACACTCAGAGTGAGACACCTAAAACGTGCAGATATAAAACTGCCTGTGAAAACACCAAAAGCTGTTCCAACTGGTGCCACTGAACGCTTTGCCTCTTCATTTAGATTCATGTCCTGTGGATGCTGGTGGCAGAGGGAATGGTATCCCGCACTGAACTCCACATCTGGAGAACACAAAGCCTTACAGCAGCACTGCTGCACAGCACTGAACTTGTGTTCAGACTGGCTGACAGGTCAGCTGGAACTAATCTGCTGCTGCTGGGAACGCAGGAGGCAGAACAGTGCCAGAGAGCACTTTCCAAAGGCAACTCTGCAGTGTTTCTTACAGGAAACCTTTTTATCCCACTGTGAAAGGAACTTGAAACTTCTGATCACTCCTCATATTAATTTCCAGCGGACAAAGGGAATAAACTGATTTGAAATGTATTGAATTACACAAGTTTCACGCAGAGCGCTCTCCAATAGCGCAATTCCCTTTCAGCAAGCTCAGGGTACCTAAACCAACAAGGTTTGAGCATCCTCCTGTGCAGAGTCAGCAGTCTGGGATGCTAACAGCCTGGAAAGGCAGGGCTTGGAGACTTCTCCCAGCCTGATCTGCTTTCCAGCAGGGTTGGACACGCATCAGGACCGCTCAGGGGAACATGCGGGTGCTTCTCAGCCTCCACTGAATCCAAGTGGGAGAAGGTCTGAAATAAGGTGCTTCATGTGTATCCACTCCAGGCAATTACAAGTCCACAGACTGCTGCGTGGACAAGCTCCATGGATTCAACAAGTGAAATGCCAACAGCAGCGTCACTCCAGCTCCACTGCTCCAACACGCAGCCTTGCAACTACTCTGCCTCCAACAGCGATCGCTGCCTGGAATCACAGACCTTAAACCTGCAGATGCAGGTGGAAATGAATCAAAGTGAACAATCACCAAGTATCTGAGGAGTAGGAAAACCAGCATTAATGCATAAAAGTACTAAATTAGGTTGAGATTCAGACAAACCCAAGAATTTGCCCAGAATCAAACCCTCCCTGCTCAGAGGGGTAGAAGGTCCGTACACTTACACAACCACTTCAGCTCATTTGGCTTGGTTTTAACCTCAAGAGCTCTGATGCAGATCTTCACTTCCCCATGAAATACCACAGAAATACTTGGAAAACCTTATTTTTATAGCCTTCAGGACAGCTGCTTCACCTTCACTGCGCCAAGCTGAACAAGGCAGGAGGAGACAGCAGATCGTTTCAATAGGCTGGGATGGCTGAACACAGTGCTTGGACTTCCTTCTACTTTGGACTTTTTTAGTTCAGAAGGAAAACTCCTCATATTTTAAATCAATCCAGGTTTCAAGAATAGAAAACTTGTGCTGAGACATCTCCTGCACTGATTTTTATCCCAAGTGAGCTTTGCAAAGGCAAATCCCACCATGGCAGATAACAGGGCTGAGGAAAGGTGGCAAATCCCAGACTGGTTTGAGTTGAAGGGACCTTAAAGCTCATCCAATTCCAACCCGTGCCACGGGCAGGGACCCCTTCCACTAGAGCAGCTTGCTCCAAGCCCCTGTGTCCAACCTGGCCTTGAACACTGCCAGGGATAGAGCATCCATCCAAATGCCGATCTATGGGGTCTTTTTACCTACATCCTCCAGGAATTCATACATCCTATTAAAACAAGCATACATGAAGACATCCAGGCTGACAGCAAAGGCTTTGCACAAGACAAGGAGCGTGCAGAGTCTTTAAAGCACTGTTTCATTGTCACTTCATCCCAAAAGGGCTTCCCCAGCTGCTTCAGGGGCCCCACTCAGCCGCGCACTGATCCTCGCTGTGAACACAGAAGCCCCGGCTGCGCTCAGCTCCTCCGCCCCCGCTCCAAGCACCAACATTCCCCACACCAGCTTTGTTTTCACGGCAGCATCCCAACAGGAACTCGGAGACGCACGGAGGCGACAGCGCTGCCCCTGCACAGCCGCGGACCGCTGCGAGGCAGACACCGGGGACCCCGCTTTTGCTCCCCACTCAACACCGACCCCGCCGCAGCCTCCGCCCGCAGCTCCCATCTCCTTGCCCGGTGCCTGGCGCTGCGGGTGACCGCCCTGAGCGCAGCCGGGCCCCGGTAGTGCCGCAACCCTACGAGAAGCGGGGAGCGGGACCCGTGGGGCCGGAGACGAGCAGGGTCCGGCGGCGGGGAGACCCCGAGCGCCGCTGCCTCCCGCCTACCTTGATCATCTTGTCCATGTCCTGATCCTCCGACATCCTCCCGCGCGGCTGCGGGGGCCGAGGGCACAAGCAGGGAGGCGGCGGCGGGGCCGGCCCGGGGGGCGCTGGGCCGCGTTAGGCAACGGGCAGCCCCGGAGGAGCCTTTGTGCCACCTCCGCAGCGCCTCATCCCCGCCCGGGCAGGCCGGGGCGGGCCGGGACCTCGCGGGGAGGCGGAGGAGGGGGCCCGGAGCCGCTGCTCAGCCCGGGAGCCGCCGCCGCCGCGGAGCCGCCGCCGCCCGGCAGCCAGGCATTGCCGGCACCCTGACACGGGCACTCCCGCCGGGCGGCGGGCCCAGGCGCAGCACCGCCGACCGGGCCGCGCCCAGCACGGGAGCGCGGCCCGCGGGCCCCGCCGCCTCCCCGTTCACACCGGGGGATTTTCGGAGCCTCCGCCGCTGCGGTGTCGCGGCTTACAGGCGGCCAAGGGCACCCCTTAAACACGCGACATCGCCAACAAAGCCCCCCGAGGGGCCTTCGAGGCGCTAGGTGCTTTCTAATGACGTAACGACCAGAGGGGCGGAGCATTGCCCTCTAAGGGGCAGGGCCCGGCTCTGCCCCGCCCCTTGCCGGGAGGGCGCGAAGTCTCGCGAGATCCCGTGAGGGGAGCCCCGCGGCGGTAATGGCGGCCCTCAGGTGCCGCAGGGAGCGGCTCCCCCTCACAGTAACCAATACACCACAGAGGTGCCCTCACCGCAGCCACGTTAAGGCAATATGGGGCTAAGCAGTGCAAACAGCGAGCAAAAAGCTTTAAAATAGCTCGAGGGAGGGGGTAAATCCAAGTTGTGAGCGCACTGGAGCTCCCACCCCACAAACTGCTCCGGTAAAAGCCAGGTTAACTTCACTAAGAGGTGTTTATTGGGAGTAGATAACAATGAGAGCAGCAAGAACAAGCATTTACCTCAGGTTCAGGCTCTGCTGGGTCCCACAGCTCTCAGTTCAGGCCATAGGTGAGTGCACAGGACAAGGGTAGAGCTGTGTAAGCCCATAAAGAGTTCCTATACAACCTACTGCAGACAAGCATTGAAATGAGTCCTGGCAAGAACATCATCAGATCCTGATGCACCGAGAGTACCCCCATGTAATGCATTAGGGCTCCAGTGGCTGTATTTGGTACTTTAAAAAGAGAAAGCCAAGTAGCGTGTATAACAAAAGCTCCTTCAGGCACCTTCTAAAGAGACAATCCTTAACGCAGAGTTAAAGGCTTTCCACCTATGCTTTGTTTGTGTTAAGAAGGGCTTTCCTTGCTCTGCGTCCCGTGGAGCAGCACAGACGCTCCCCAACGCTCTCCTTTAGGAGTTCTTCTGTGGAACTTTGATCGTCACCTGGAAAGAGAACACACACAGGTTATTAACCTGGAGGCAGCGTTCAGTTATGTCCATCAGCCTGTGGGGATGGGATTTCCTACCACTGGGAACGCGGGGATCAGCTCAATAGCACCGTATTAAGCTCTATAAGGTCACTGCCCAGACTCCTGCTCTCGGGTGATGAGTGCTCAGTGTTCCTCTGCCTGTTTGTACCTGCAGAAGCTTCTGCCCATCTCTTCCCATTCCCCACAAAGCAAACTCATGGGGAAGTCTACACACTTGCATTCTGTACAGTGAGAAGCAGCTAAACAAGTGGTGCAGGCAGCTGGTAATCTGTTAAATTACATATCTAACAGGTTGTCCTCTAGAAAACCTATTTAGGTTACATAGAAAATATTTGTAATTTCATATTACATAGAAAATATGTATACATTAGAAAACCTATTAGGTTACATACCTAGGTTTTCCTCTAGAACCACAGAATGGTTTGGGTTGGAAGGGACCTTAAAGCTCCTCCAGCTCCAGCCCCTGCCACGGGCAGGGACCCCTTCCACTAGAGCAGCTTGCTCCAAGCCCCTGTGTCCAACCTGGCTTTGAACACTGTCAGGGATGGAGCTCTCAGTTCCATGAGGTTGTGTCTGTGGTGACTTCCCAAGTGCAGCTCCAATTTTGTTCCAAGCATTAGAAGGACAAACTGCAACTCTCAGACCAACAGGCACAAAGCCAGTTTGGAGCTATGGCAGAGGGCAGTCATTCCTCGGATACAGGGATACTCACGTTTTTCACCTCTACATAAGCCTCCAGGCCGTATTCTCCCAGTTCTCGCCCATTCCCAGAGGCTTTGTAGCCACCGAAGGGGGCTTGGGCACCAAACACATCATAGCAGTTTACCCTGCAATGGAAACAAGATTTAAGCACCTGCAGTTTCAGACCTGGTTAATGGAAGAGCCTTCTGCAGTGAACAGGTGTTTGCAGGAGAATTTCCAGGCAGGATTTCCCTGTTTGTCCGTGCTCTCAGACAACGGAGTTAATCCATACCGACGCCTTATCCCCATCAACCAGGAAACGACATCAAACCCATTCACCTCCTGCATTATCACAGCACCAAGCGCCCAGGTTGCCACCCACACCTCCCTCAGAGCACAGGTACCAGCGACACCGCCTTGTTCCCTCAGTACCATCACAAACCAAACAGACAGCGAGATACTGGCTCTCCAAACCCCCCTGCTGCAGCAGGAAACTGCTGCTGAAGAACTTACTCTGGCACTGCTGCATGGCCTCCGAACACACAGCAACATCAACTGCAGCCACACAGATGTGCTCAGTGATCTGATCATTGCTGGCCCTCACAGCCCTGCAGACACTGCTCTCATTCCCAGCTGCAGCACTGGATTTCTTCCCCCCCATTCCATACATTAATTCCCAGTGGGAACATGGAAGCCTAATAGACCTAATTTTTACCAACAGCTGAAGGCCTGTCATTACATTCAGTGAAGTACTGGATTCAGAGACAGGCTATCAAAGAACAAGCTTATAGAGAAACGGCAGCACACAAGGAAGCTTGCAGCAGCCAAGGCAGAAGAAAGTGTGGATGCTCACCAGACTGTTCCAGCTCGCAGGCCGTGTGACACATAGTTTGCTTTGTCAAGATCCTTTGTGAAGACAGCTGCTGCTAGGCCATACTTGGAGTCATTTGCTCTCTCGATCACTTCCTCAATGGTTTTGAATTTCAGAATCTGCATGACTGGCCCAAATATCTGCAAAATCCAGAGAGAGCTTGTGAAACTGTGTGCTTTGAGCATGGAGAGGGCTGTGGTTGATGCTGGAGTTACCGTATGGATGTGGGAATCATGGGCATCAAATTCAAAGTATCATTCCCTGTATTACAAAGAACCCTGGATGTAATCTGGAGGGAGTTTAATGCGGTCACTTTCTAAGCAGCATCGAGTTCTGTGGTTCACAAGTGCCCAGACCCAGGTTTTTGAATCAGAGGGGACAAAATGAGCAAGAAGGGAGAAGCCGACAGACAGAAGGGTGCTGCAGTCTCACCTCCTCTCTGGCTATCGTCATGTTGTCCTGCACGTCACCAAAGACAGTTGGCTGGATGAAATAGCCTCTGTCTGCAGCGGCATTGCCACCACACAGCAGTTTGGCTCCTTCCTGCTTCCCAGTATTAATGTACCCAAGGATCTTCTTAAACTGCTTTTCATCTACCTATGAGACACAGGACAGAGAGATCAACTTCACTTTACTGGCAGCAAAAGACTTGACTACAAACTGCTGTGCATGTGATGGTGCTCCAGCAATTCCTCATTTCAACAGCCTGCAGAGTCAGCTTCAAAGGGAGGTGGTCATTTTTAAATGCCAGCTTCAAGTGGAGGGTTTGGAACCATCAGAAGGGCTAATGGACTTCTCCCTCCTGCACAGGCAAGGAGATAACAGCCCCAGTTCAAAGGAGATTTAATCAAGAGACCCATGGATCCCTTTCATTCCAATCTGTTGATACACAATGACTTGGGGCTATTTCAGGAGATAACAGATGAGGACATTTCCTGCTCTTACCTGAGGCCCCTGTTCAGTTTTAAAGTCAAAGGGGTTTCCAACCACCCTGTTCTTGGCCTTCTCAACGCTCCTCTCCACAAACTCCTGATAAATATCCTCCTGGACATATGTCCGGGATCCGGCACAGCAGCACTGGCCTTGGTTGAAGAAGAGGGCAAAGTGGGCTTGATCCACGGCCCAGTCCACTAAGATTGGAGAGAGGGGAGAACACAAATCAGCAAACAAACCCAAGCAGTGTTGTGAACAATCACCATGCAGACTGATGGAGGACCAGTGACACAAAGCCCTTTCAGCTGAGGGTGTTTCCCATGCTTTGGTAGGGCAGAAGTTACATACAGATTTAATTAGTGTGGGGGTCTATTGAAGCAGCCCACACTAGAGAAAACCAATCTGATCTGAGGCAGAATACAGTTCTCATTTGACATTATGAGGTATTAAGGACAAGCTGGTTTAGATCTAATTTCCTTCCTGCCATATAAAAGCACAGGTGTTGGCTCCTCAAGACCAACAATAAGTCTGCATGCAAGAGATGAGGAAGAGTAGAAAAGAGTGGTGCACACCAAGAGAAAGACACAAAACCAAATGGCAGTAAGACTGAAGGAAGATACTGATCCAGTTCTCATTTGCTGATAACTGAACTTCAGAGCACAGGGGAAGAGGTGGGAGTGAAGAAGTGCTGCTACACAAATACAGCAGCTACAGCAAGAGGCACTTCACTGGGTGACAACATCCAGGTATGGTCAGAGTTGGAGACTCACACCCACAGGAGAGGTTTCCTCTCCCCCCCCAGCTCTGCTTGCAGAAAGCCAATGCAAAAGGGACAGCTCAAGCACTACACTGAAAGGTGCTTACTGTCTGCGTCAGACATGATTATGTTTGGACTCTTTCCTCCGAGCTCCAGTGTCACCCTCTTCAGGTTACTCTCTGCTGCAGCCTTCTGGACCAGGTGCCCAACCTGCGTGGTGAGGAGAACAGGTATTAGGAATTAACTCCTACGTCTGCAGCACCGAGCAGGGCGGCTGGTTTCAGGTCTGTCAGCACTTTAACAATAATCCCTTCCTTGTCAGGGCCCTCAGGGAACACCTGAAGCCTGCACAGTTTCACATCTTCTGAAGCAGCTCAAAGGAAGCGAGAGGAAGAACTCTAAAGAAGGCACCTTAGAAGAGTCTTAGGTAGAGTAAAACTAAATGTCACACCCTGAAGTCAGCTCTATTTTCCTTTTAGAAGGCAAAGCGCCTCCAGTATTTTACACAGAAAAGGTATTACAGCAATGAGACACTCTCTGTATCCCAAGGGCTTGCAGGTTAAGGTGCTCCCTTACCTCCGTGGAGCCGGTGAAGGCCACTTTATCTATATCCATGTGGGAGGAGATGGCAGCCCCTGCAGTGGGCCCATAGCCAGGGATGATGTTCACCACTCCTGGTGGGAATCCAGCCTGCCGGTTCACCACAGGGGAGAGCAACGTTAGTCCTCTACAAACCAAGGATTTCCCCTTCCCTCCCCTGCCAGTAACATTTCAATGGGCCTCCCACAAAGAGCAGAGCCTTTTCTACCTCACTTTAGTGTTAATGTTCAGTTTGCAACC